TATTAAAATAAAAAAAAATTAATTTCCAGGGGGCGCTGAGTAATATTTTTTCTGGAAAGGGGGCGGTAGGCCAAATACGTTTGGGAACCACTGGTATATATCATTGTCTTTACTGACTGCATTCTTGTGATTTGACATAGAAATTTATAATTGTATTGTCATGGCTCAAAAGAACTTTGAAAAAGAAGTGTGTGATTTGCCTAGTTTTCTAGTAAATCTTTGAAAAATTAATGGCAGTTTGCAGAGCCATGCTTAAATTGCTAGTTGCTGAAAAAAAATGCTCCACAAAATGAACCATAGGCCTCTTTTTAAAAAATATTTTAAAATATATTTTATTGATTTTTTTACAGAGAGGAAGGGAGAGGAATAGAGAGTTAGAAACATCCATGAGAGAGAAACATCTATCAGCTACCTCCTGCACACCCTCTACTGGGGATGTGCCTGCAACCAAGGTACATGCCCTTGACCGGAATCGAACCTGGGACCCTTCAGTCCGCAGGCCAGCGCTCTATCCACTGAGCCAAACCGGTTAGGGCCATAGGGCTCTTTTAACTCATTCGTTTATCTAATGTATGTTTTAGGAATTTTGAAGAGTTTTCTAATTTAGTGATGGAAAAAACAACAAACAATAAAACAATCATCTTTACTAAAAAAAAAGAAAAACAACTTTGTTCATTTGAATGGTAAATTGGAAAGGTAGTAATCAGGGCTCCAATTTTCATCTTGATACAGAAAACAGTTGTTAACTTTTGGGTTCAAGGTATTTCTCAAAATTGTGTTTTAAAATTAGCTTTAAAACAAGTACTTTCTAAAATAGCGTCATGTGATGTTGAAAGTTTTACTTTTTAACTCACAGAAATGAATGCTTAGATAATTGGTGTTTTCTAATTAAGAAGCAAGCCTGCATTGAACAAAAAAAAAATGAAATAGGCTGTTTTATTGCAGAATGGGATTAAATAATATGATTTGACACATTGACTTAGATTTATTAATTATCTTGTGTCTCTTTATATTATAAATGGCTTCAGATATTCAAAACTTAGAAAGGCAAAATTTATGAAAAGGCAATTGTTATTTTAATCATCTCAGTTGAGGAGTGAGGGATGAAATCAGATTTATAGGAACTGTGAATTTCACAGCTCCGTCCAATGTTTGATATGCTTTTTTGAAATGAGATGAAAGAGCTGTGATTCTGCTTATTCAGAGCCAGCTGCATGGGTGTTTTGCTCCTGGACTCTTGTGCCTGTAATGAGCTTCTGTGAGCCCTAGCGGGTGCTAGGTTCTCTACCTCAGTGACTCCACAAGGTTTTACACCCAAGAAGAAATAGACTCTACTTCTTGATAAGAAGAGCTAGAAAGAATTGTGGTCATTTGTGCACAATTCTGGGGTGGAATATATAGTACTTTGGAGCTGTCACAGTCGTGTGTCAAATTAGATAGAGGAAGCTGTTTGGCAATCAGTATATGAAGAGGACCCTGGTGACATTTATGTTCCTGGTTTCAGTTGTTTTTGAGACCTGTGAAACCTCCAGTATAGCTATTAAATTCTTTTTTGTGTCTATGAGTCCATTAAGTTTCCCTGTTATCCAATTAACATAAGTGATGTGAAGTTCTGTAAAATTTAATCAAGGCTCCTGAAAAAAAAAAACTTTATTCAAACTTGTTTACATTTTCTTATTTCCTGGCCTTTCTTGTCACCTGTTAATAAAGTGAGTAGAATAAAGGCTGTTATATATTCATTTAGCTATTGCCCTTCATTTTTTAATTAATTTTATTTCCAATAAACCAAGTGTCCATCTTAATTAAGCAATTCAACTCTATTGAATTTGTCATCTGTATTTATAGGATGGTATTTTTTAAATGGTCTGAGTAGTCAGACACTACCCTTTAATTCTAAAAATTAGAGACCAAATGTCATTTAGGAAATTGAAAATCAACTTTTTATGACTTCAATTGAAAGAACTTATATTGAAATGTGAACAATGTTCATGAAAAGTTAATAAATAAGACTAATGATAGTGCATGGTAATTTTAGAATGATTAGGCTATTAAACTACTTATAACTAATGCTAATATCTTTGAGAAAAGAGTATAACAATATTGGAATTTCATGCTCATAAAAAAAAGCCCTGAACTTCAAAAGCTTTTCATGATCATATATATCAAGAGCCCATTTCACAATGTTCTCACATTTATATATAGACACATTTCTCATTTTAAATATAATTATTATGGATGTGAAATTATGGGATCTGAATCAATTTGCAGACTTCTCAGCTCCACATGTTTCTCTCTAATTTTGCCCTTCCTCCCAAGATTTAAAAATTCTCTCTACCTCTGACTTCCTTCTTTTACTCACTAATGCTATGAGCCACTATAATTGAAAGGAGTGTGTCCTTTTATACTCCCTCCAACATGTTGGAAGCAAAACATTCTAGGCAAAAGGTATATGGTGTTTTTAGGAAATCAGAACATGTACTAAGGATTCTAAGCTTCTGAGTGCACTAAGTGGTACTGAAGCCTTGGTTAATGAACCCCTCTGTGACCCTTCACACCCCTGCATCTCTCTGAAGAGAAACTAGAAGACAAAAGACCAGCACGTGTTCAGGAAAGATACTGTCACTATTGAGTAAACTAGAGTGAGAATATGCCTTTCTTTCTTGATAATCAGGGAATACTTTCAGAGTTATCCAAAGTTTATAGAGGTGAATAAAGTGTCATTATTATCCTCATTTTTAGAGGATTTACAGGAAACTCAGGAGAATTAAAGTGACTTTAATTAGGGATAATAATGGTTCCTCCCCTTTGTAACCGACCTCACATTTAGTTATAAAACATGGCTCTACAGAAATTTACATGCCACTGATACCATAGTAAATAGCTCATTATTAATAATAGAAAGGGAAGGCCAGACATTATAGGCATTTCTTTTGGGAAGCTTCACCAGGAAGCTGCAATTTTGCAGTCCCCAGTGAATCACCAGCTCATTTCCGACAAAACACAGGAGGAAGGAGTACAACAAATGGGAGACAGAGGCCTGCACAGTGACGTTGGGGTGACTAGGTGCCTGTCAGTCACACCTGGAACAGATATCTTTGGCCAGAATGGGTGTGGCCACTGCCAGCCCCTGAAAATGTGGTGATACATAATCTCCTAAACAAAGGGGTTTGCTTTCTTGTTGCTCTTAGCTCTCTCTTGTGGCTCTTAGCTCATGGGGGCTCTCTTGTTCCCTGCATTCACCAGTGTTTCCTCCATAGCCATGGCCCTATGGACCCTATAAGCAATGGCCTGATAGACTGCAGCAGAGAACACAAGCTAAACCAGCCTGATGCTGGATTGCACTCTTCTAACATAGAATGGAAACTCTTTTTTTAAAAAATATATATTTTTATTGATTTCAGAGAGGAAGGAAGAGGGAGAGAGAGATAGAAACAACCATGATGAGAGAGAATCATGGATCGGCTGCCTCCTGCAAGTCCCCCACTGGGGATCCAGCCCACAAGCCGGGCATATGCCCTTGACCGGAATCGAACCTGGGACCTTTCAGTTCGCAGGCCAACGCTCTATCCACTGAGCCAAATCGGCTAGGGCTGAATGGAAACTCTGGACACCAGCTCTGATTTTAGCCTGTTAGGCAACATGGGACTTATTCTTTGGTGGGACAAGGGGCAATGGGACCTTGGGAGCTCAGGGAATAAAGCTTTCTATAATATTTCATCCTCCTATGCAAGTTTCAGAAAATTATTTTTCTTGGAGGATCACAAGAATTCTACTCCCATGAGCAACAGGTGGGGATGAGGACCTCTCTCCACTGGCAACATCTTTATAGAAAGTTCAATTCAATTTGAGTTCAAATGTTCCTATGAATTTTAGGATAGTGTAATATATTCCCCTAGTAACTAGGGCCTAGTTAGATCCTTCATTCTACATACCACACCCATTATCTGTAAATAAAGAGTAGCTTCCAATGCAATCAATGAGCAGTCAAGCACGCAAATGAGGCCATCTTTAAGTAGTGTTTTGCTCTGCTACAGAATGAAGTCTATCGAAGAGCTGATGGAACACAGGGACCATTTGGAAAAACTTAAGAGCACATTTACAAAAATACTAAATGCACATTAAGGAGAACTTAAGGATAAGTTTGTTTTGACTGCTGGAAGGGAAACCATGATACACATGGGGACTCAGGTGGTTAATGGACTGCACATTATTACTATACAGTACAGACCTCAGTCTCTTAGATCCTCAGAAACCACAATGTCAGTTGATCGCATAGTGCCCTACAGAATACATTTTAAGAGCAAATAATCGAACATCTCAGATATGCTTTCAGAGCTTGCCAACTCACTTGGCTTTCGAATTCTGGCTCTTGGACTATTGTGCAAGAAACTTTACAATCTTTTTTGCCCTGCTAGAGGTTCTAAGCCCATCTCGAATACAATAGAGAAAATGGCAGTAAATTGAAGTAAAAAATAAACTGTAATCGCAAAACAAATTTCCCGAGTTCAGAGATGATGCAATATATAAACTTAAAGCTCTGCAGTTAAAGCCGACTGCTTGACATCTGAATCAATTTAATTTGAAGACAAATACCATGGTGCCTAAGATATGAAATTGTTCATTTCCATTATATTTCAACTTGAAGGACATTATTTTGCATTGAAAATGCAGTCATGTTAACAAATGAGCTACTGGTTTTCATTTGTATGTTAACCTGATTATGCAAAGTATATATATCTCTATATCTCTATATCTCTATATCTCTATAGAGATATAGAGATATAGAGATATCTATATCTATAGAGATATAGAGATATAGAGATATATAGAATTATATAGATATATATACTAACAATCACTATTTTGTTTAATGTTCATTAATATTTGAATCAGCAGTTGATGACTTAAAACAGCATGAAAGAGAACAAAATACAAGCCTGTGTCATCTTCTTATCTTTCCAAAGCATTTTTACCATCCATCTTCTCTTTCTCACATCCAGGTCCCACACCATGTGAAGCCCTTGCCGTATTACAGCTACGACCAGCCGGTGATCGGGTACTGCCAGGCTCACCAGCCGCTCCACGTCAACAAGGGCTATGAAGCCGTGTCCCTGGAACAGGACGAAACCCCCGGCCTGGAGCTCGGGCGTGACCACAGCTTCATCGCCACCATCGCCAGGTCAGCAGCACCAACCATTTACCTTGAGAGATTAACAAACTAATGCAACAGCAACTCCTCACTGGGGGACTCCAAGAGCGGGGAGGGAGGGTCTTCGTCTTAAAGAAGAATGGATGTCCAACATTGCGCAATCAAGAGGCTCATGTTCCTGGGAAAACATTTATGACCGATTGAAAAGGAAAAACAAAACTGCTGACAGAGAGCAGATGCGCCTGCAACATAACCAGGAGAACCACAGACCTTTCTTTGCTTTAAAACATACCACAAACCAACAAACGCGTTCCTGGATGTAAATAGTAAGAGTGTTGAGTTCTTATAAAAATAGATTTCATCCTAGCTAAAATAGGTTTGTTTGTATATTTGCTTTTTCTACTCTGCATGGTTCCTGGCCTGGAGGACCACAGGGCGGGGAGAACCTGGGGAGGGTGGGAAGTTGGGGAAACAATACCAGTTTTCCTTGTTAGGTATGTGTAACTCTTGGACTTTTTGTTTTGATTGCTTTGTTTCATTTTTTTCCTTTAAAAATGATGTTTGTTCTTGTCTGGTTTGTTTGATTTTTATTGTTCACCTAGTCAAGTGATTCTGTTTCCAGTTCTGAACATGGGCATCAAGCTTGTGTTGTACCAAAAGAGAATTTGCTTTACCACAGACCACAGATTAACAAAGTTGACCACCACATCTGACAGAACTACTGCAATGAAGATCCAATAGAAGGTGTGTGAATGACGCTTCCTGACACTCGGTGTACACAGTGTGAAGAGCTTTGCTTTTTTCCTGTTGGCCGCCCTCACTGTGCGCTTTCACTGTGTGAGAAGTCTGAAGGAGGGACCCCTGAAGACCTCCAAGAGAAATTACCAGCAGAAACATCCTCATGTGGACCAGGGGGTCTATGAACTACAATGGTCATGTGGTCAATGAATGAAACTGCCAAGCCAACAAATCTCTAAATATGAGAAACCGTGTAACATTGATTTTTTTAAATTATCAATTAATTTTTGTGTAGTTTTATCAATAAAAGAAAAAAATGTCGGAAAAATAAATATATTGTTCTGTGGTTGGTACGCCACAGCCCATCTAAGGTTGAATGTTTTATCTCTATAATGTGAAACCCTTCTAGCCTGGATTAGGGCAATTCAATAAGAATGCATTGGTGTCTGTCAAGTGTCTTCTGTGTGTTCCACCATCAGGTAGAGAGACTCTATATCAGCGGTTCTCAACCTGTGGGTTGCGACCCCTTTGGCGGTCGAACGACCCTTTCACAGGGGTTGCCTAAGACCATCCTGCATATCAGATATTTACATTACAATTCATAACAGTAGCAACATTACCGTTATGAAGTAGCAATGAAAATAATTTTATGGTTGAGTTACACATGAGGAACTGTATTTAAAAGGCCAGAAGGTTGAGAACCACTGCTCTATATAGTATAGACAATAAGTATGAGGTGTGGCTTATGCCCTAACTTGTTTCACAATTATTTCTTTTTCAGATTTATGATGTGATGCAAAATTATATAACAAATATGAGGTGACAGTAAGTATTCATGGAAGGGTTAGAGGTTGTATGATATTCTAGGAAAGAAAGAAGTGTGTGGAAATCGGTTACTATCTGAGAGAAACATAGAAATCACTCATTTTTTAACCAGAGAGATAACTATACACACACTAGTTGAACCATTTTTACTTGACTTCCTTAGGGCTGTGATGCCAGCTTTCAGTAATTCTCTGATTCACTATGGACTTATCTTAATCTAGGCACATTTGTGTTCTTCTATTTTTAAAACAAAATGAAATTACAAGCTTATGCCATTCTTTGTTATGTCAGGTTTTGCATTCTGAAAGGTGTTAACATGGAGTAGTTTGAGTGGGTTATCTGAAGAGCTAAGTTGATACCTGCCCTCCATTTAATTCCAAATTCTGCTAAAATAATAATGAAAGAGCCTTGTGAATACTTTTGCATCAAAGTAAACTGTCATAGAGTACTAAGCATGTTTATTTTTTCAAAGTCTTTCTGTTTTACTACTATTTTATATTATACTTGAATGTAAACTCTATCTCAATTGATAAAATATTATTCCGTATTAAAGAAAATTCTATCAAAGGAAGTTTTTTTCACATTGGAACACAGGGACTATTGCTGTCAAACTCTGGTAACTTTCCTACTAATATTTACAATTAGGATTTCATTATATCTGGGTATGTGTCCTAACCATTTAAGTAGAATTAATTAATTATGAATTTATATGTTAAAATTATTTTTAGCATTATGATTTTTCTTTTAAAATTATTTGATAGCATTGAGGCAGGACATTTTTTAGTGTTTGCCCAAAGGACAAGGACCCCCTTCCATCTCCTTCATCTTTCCAGCATCACCCATAACACCCCACTCCTGCCATAGTCAATGTACTAGAAGGCATACCTGAAAATGTTTGATTAAAGTTGCCTTAAGTCAACTATTTATTCTGTTTGTTATAAGCAAAAGAGTCCAAAATAGATAACACCCTTCATATTATTTAAAACTCCATACTTGGCCAAGAGTTGCCTCAAGTCTAACATGAAATGGTGAACTACTGCAAAACAGGTGGCATTATGAAAGTGCTTTGCCCTATGCAAATGAAAACTTTCAAAATAACTTTTTAAAATATATCATTTACATATGCCAGAGCAAGTTTGCACTGAGTTTTGGAAATCTATTGATGATTAAACAACAACCAGAATAGACAAATAAAACCCCCAAAACAATTTTGCTTGAGGAAGCTTGGAAAAGCCCTTAGTGGGAAAATTCATGCTTGATATTGTGTGAAATGTTATGCTTCATTTCAAGACTATCCTAATTAGTCATTTTAAACTATATTTTTTATTGAAACTCTGAAAGCTGTGCACATTTGGGAGTATCATGGAGTATTTATAGAGCAAAGACATTAAAACTATGCCTGCTAGGAATTGTGAATGTGAAACATACAGATTGGAACAGTCAATTATTCAAACATTCTGATTAATTTATTTCATAAGTATCCTTAGTAATGCTGAGTTTGCTTTTACTTACTGTATCATGCAATAAGGAAATATCTAAAATCAGAAGCTTGATTAATATATGTATAAATATAACTGTGGTTTAAATGTTTATGCTATCATAGCTCTATTTATAATATTTCATGTATGACCTTCTAAGACTAAGGATATAAAAAGACTCATCAATTGCAGAATGCCAAAAACCCAAGTACTTTTAAAAATCAAAAGTAGACGATGTTACAATATTTTAAATAATTTCACTCACAATAAAGCCGTGTGAGGGGAAGGAGGGCTCTAGGAGGAGGCCCTGGCATCTATTATTGGCCTTCATGCCACACTTACATCAGTAACTTGAGTGCAGATAAGGCAGATGTACATAACAAAGTGATTCATGTCATGAGAAATGGAAGAAAATGTAACATTCCAATCTGGAAACCTTTCTATTTTATGAGCAAATCCATAAGTGCGAATTGAATTTGGGAATTTGGGTTGTCAGCTTATTATTAATAATATAGCAAGATGACCAAAGAAAAAATCATAGAAATGTCCAAAATAAGGAATGTTATTATTTGAATCTAGCTTTACTGGTCAAACCGCACCTGGACTTCAGTATCAGTGTCATACCTCCAAGGGGAGATCTATAAGAATAGTAACCAGAATATTGGAAATTACTCAATCCGTAGCATACATTCCTGCTTCACAGATCCATGATTGTCACACAGTGTTGGTAATTGTTGTTGTTTTTAATTTATCAATTACAGTTTGCATTCAACATTATTTTGTGTTAGTTTTACGTGTACAGCATAATAGTTAGACAATCATCTACTTTACAAAGTGTTCCCCTCAATATTCCAGGTACCCACCTGGTGCTGTGTGTACCTATTATAATATTGTTGACTATATTCCTTGTGCTGTACTTTATATCTCCATGACCATTTGGTAACTTCCAATTAATGCTTCTAATCCCTTCACCTTTTTGATAATGGATTATTTAATTGAGGAATGCAAAGCTCTTGGGGCAGTGGCCTGTCTACATCCTTGTCAAGCTCCTCATTTCTGTGGACTTTCTAATTTCTAAAGCCTCATGGCCTCCCATGAGGGCATACTTATCGTACTCCATGTTATATAGCCTTTAATGGGCTTTCATTCAGAAAATATAACCAGTCCAAGTTCAGAAACTCGGGTTATCTGAGCTTTAATTTCTCTCACCCCACATGCATGCCTGTAGTGACAGGGCGCAGCATTGTTCCTGTAATAAAATTCGGTAACTGCCTCCCGTTTTGTTCCCTGGAGAGCTGAGCTCCTCCTGCCTTGATTCATCTCTAGGATCCTGGTTCTTCCAAGGCTGACCACCATCTTTCTCTTGCCCCTATTACCAGGCACCTGATTTCTGCCCATAAATCCCAGTCATGGGTTACCAAACCTGCTCTGCTTAGGTCTAAATAATACTCTGCTCCTCAAACATCCAGTCTGCCCTGCTAGGCCAGCCCTGATTCCACTTGTAGTAACTTTCTGGCAGGTGCTCTGTTCTCTTGATAGTTTGCTCTGCTGCCTAGCACTTGACTTCCCGTCCTCTGTTGCTGAGCTTGCACTATTCTAGGAGTACAATCCAGCTTCCAAAAGGCCCGTTCTGCACATTTGAAAACTGAGTTTCCATAATGGAAGATCAGTGATTTTGTGTTTAGACCAGGGGTGGGCAAACTTTTTTACTCGAGGGCCACAATGGGTTCTTAAACTGGACCGGAGGGCCAGAACAAAAGCATGGATGGAGTGTTTGTGTGAACTAATATAAATTCAAAGTAAACATCATTACATAAAAGGGTACAGTCTTTTTTTTTTTAGTTTTATTCATTTCAAACAGCCGGATCCGGCCCGCGGGCCGTAGTTTGCCCAAGGCTGGTTTAGACCCTCAAATGTTAGCATATAGGACAATTACCCTAAATGGTGTTTTTTTTATGTATGTGTGGGGCCCATCCCTAGTGTTTCTGATGCAGTAGGTTTGGGGTGGAGTCTGAGAATGTTCATGCCTAGT